GGCAGTGGAGCGTCCCGAGATAACGGCCGGATTTGCCGACTTTGACGCTGGCCATCGGGATCTGGTCACTGTCACCAGATTTAACTTCTATGGCAACCGTATTGTCACCGCTTCTTCCGATCACCGCATGAAAGTTTGGGATCTCAAGGATGGCCAATGGCAACTGGTAGATACCTGGCGCGCCCACGATGCCGAGATTCGCGATGTATGTCCCCAAACGAGCTAGGGCGCAATTCTAAGGCTACCATTGCGGCTCATGTACTAAACTGCTATATCAGGCCACGTGGAATGGTCCTTTCACAGGCCAACATATTGGCAGTGTTGGGGAGGACATGAAGTTGAAAATTTGGCAAGAAGATGTAACCCAGCCACCAAACTCAGGACGGCGTTTCAAATCGGTCTTTCGCATGACCGCACCCCAAAGACATCCATTTGTATCACTGGACTTTCGCAACATTGACCTGGAGTCATGGCTGGCGGTGATAACACGCAATGGCTATCTCATGGTTATGGAACCCGTCAGCCCTGATAGCCTTGCAGATTGGCAGCCTGTTGACCAGTTCCGAGTGTGTACCGCCCCGGAGCGCGGGGAGGAAACAAGTTTCAAAGTCCAGTTTCATCATGATCCTACCGACATCACTCACACTATATTACCGGATTCCGATCGGAAGAGCCTGTCGCTAATTGTGGCTGCCATGGACACCGTCAAGGTCTACCGCACTGATGCAAACCGACGATTCTACCATGCAATTGAACTCAATGGTCACAGTGGTCTTGTGAGAGACATTTCCTGGGCCAATGGTTCTGTGCGTGGTTACGATCTTATTGCGAGCGGCGGCAAGGATGGTCTGGTCCGCATCTTTGAAGTGTACACGATGCCAGCTGGCCAAGCACAGGGCTCTAACAGCCGGAAGGAGGAACTTCGCATGCAGAGCCAATCCCAGTCGCAGTCGCAGTCGCCGTCGCCCCGAGCGACGTCGCAATCCGGGATCGGTTCTGCTCTAGCAAGTCGTGTGCCTGCGTCGGTGGCTGATCGCCAAGCCAACGGGGAATCCCAATTCCGGCACTCATTCAGACAGGTGGCTTGCATTGATACCAAACACCTCGATGTGTGGCAGGTTCAATTCTCCTTCTCTGGTGAGTATTTCTTCGTTTATCCACAACCCTAAGTCTTTTCGCTAATACAATGTTAGGTGACTCGTTGATTTCCTCCGGGGACGATGGAGCAGTTCGGTTCTGGAAAAGATCTTTGTCTGGAGAATGGCTCGAGTTTGCCGAAACAGACATGGCTTCTCAGTGATCTTCTCCCAAGCACTGCTAGACATTGGAAATTCTTGAAAAGTGCCTTTCGGCCATCACCCCATTTTATTTTCCTTCACAATCAATGATACCCTTTACATTTGATTTCTGCATACTCCTGTGATCTCACTAGGTAGTATTTCTGGAACTAATTAGTTGAATTCAAGGTTGCAGTTTCTTTTTTAATCTCGAACTATCCCGATTACACGAGGAAAGAGCCATGTTTGGAGATGCCGTGGTTGGTTTCCTTACATCCCCTGACAATTTTCTTCTCAAGTCGAAACCACTCTCAGCCTTCTACACTCGTCACTATCATTACTTCATTATCTACATTCATTTTTAATTCACCATGGCTATCGGTCCTACCATTGGCACTGGCTTGTTCATCGGCGCTGGCCAGGCGCTCGCGGTTGGCGGACCTGCCTCGCTACTCCTGTCGTATATAATCCTATCAATTCTGACCCTTGCCATGACTACGAGCATGGCCGAAGTGTCCACCCACTTGCCATCGCAACATGGGACACTAGTAACCAATGGCTACATGTACATGTCAAAAAGTTTCGCATTTGCTTCAGCATACCTCCGCTGGTACACCCTCGCTTTGTTCGTCCCATACGAAATTACATCGGCGATGGTCAACCTTGGCCTGTGGAAACCGGGTTCTACGATCGCAATCAGATTGGCTATCATCACGACCATCGTTGTTGGATGCAACTTCCTGCCGGAAAGACTCTTCAAGAGCTCCGAGCGATTGTTCACCGCAATCAAGATCGGTACAATGGCGACCCTCTTCGTCCTCTCTTTGGCTCTGGGTCTTGGAGGTGTGGATGCGCAGCCCCCATGGGGATTCAAATACTGGAAACACCCAGGGGCCATGAACGAGTACCTAGTTCGAGGTGTATGGGGGCAAGTCTTGGCTTTCTTACAATGCCTTTTCGATGGCTCCATCGCTTTCGCGTTTGCCCCTGAGCTGATTGTGCACCATGCGGAAATGCCAGCGTCACTTATGCCAGCGTCGGTTGGCGAAGCAGCGATTCTAAGCGCCAGCATCCCAGGTATAGTCAAATCCGACGTTGCTCAAACGGCATTTCCGTATATCCTGAGCTCCTTGGCCATGGGCGTTATGGCTCCTTTCAATGACACACGTCTGACAAACAACGGAACGGGCTCCGGGTCTTCTCCTTACCTGATCGGACTCAGGGATGCAAAACTTCAAATTGTACCTACGATCGCGATGGTTGCGATCCTTCTCTCCGCGGTGGCTTCTGGGCGATCCTTTTTGTATCTGTCTTCTCGCACGCTTTGTGCAATGTCGGAGCTCGGCCATGCACCGTCGGCATTTTCAACCCGCAACCGTGGGAATGTTCCATATTTGGCCGTTGTGGCATCCGCCTTGTTCTCCTCTCTTGCCTTTGTTTCAGTGAAAATCCCGAGTACGATCATGAACACATATCTCCTTCGTCTCGTCACGAGCGCCTGTTTCATTTCCTCGCTTGTGTCATGCGCCACCTATATTCGCTTCAATCGACGACTCAGAGCGAAGGGAATGGCTAAACGGTATAGTTCCTCTTTGCAGCCATTTGCCACATATTTCGGGATGGTTATTAGTACCCTACTGCTGCTGGGCAGCGGCTTGTGGGTAGCACCCAACGGAAACCTGACAGGGTCCCGAGCAATCAGACTGATCGTCTCATATGTCAATATCGGTGTATTCAGCCTGCTGTTCCTAGTCCATCTATTCAAAGACTTTGTGTCCGTTGCTGAGGTTGATAAACAAATGGATTTGGGTGGACGCAGCTATGGCAACCGCGCAGGACCGCGAGAACCTCGGACACAGAAGATGCACCCGCATCGGGGGGGAGTCTATGCAATCCCGGAGGCTTCTGGGGCATCTGACTTGCGAGTCCGCCAGACCATGTTCACAGAGCCTTGAGTGTACAATATAATACGCCGATGATTGACGGGAGGACTCCGAGACGGTATACACATGGAATTGGCATGTCTAGGAGCCAGCATTGTTGTTATTATTAGTGATTAATTGTCGTTCGTTTCGAGTTCAAGACTTTGTGTTTGTCGTATTCACAACAATGCCAAATAGAAGAACTTCAATGTTGTAAGGTGATTTGATATATGACCATGGGTACATGGAGAAAGAAGATAAATACATATAATACAGTAACTTTCCATATATTATACCGAAACTAACATTTGACATTTGATATTTTTATTTTTCTTTGTTCTTTTGTGGCAAAAGCCAAATCACAAATCATATCGGAATCCCTCACAACCTTGGAAGCCCCCCTTTTACCATTTCGGAATCCCCGAAACCTTTCAACTTCTTTTCCCTTTTCTTCCCTTCCGATCACCATTTATACCAACTTATATATGCCTGAAACCTTGTCGTACAAGAGCAGATGACCCTTTGCCCCTCTTTGAGACCATATCCCTTCCCTCCTATCTCTCCCAAGCATTTCCCGTGTTTTCCCCATGTTACCTTTTTACTTTGCTTCTTCATACTTTCTTATACTCCCGTCATACTGCCTGGATACTTCATCGGTCCACACTTGAAAACCCCCTTTGAACCCTCTCATACTCCCCGTAGGTAGCCCATATCGCCTTTCTGATCTCCCTTGCATTCTCACGGATTTCTTTCCCGAGCCGAGTTCGTAGGAATTCTTTTGTCCTCCCTCATGAAAATCCCCGTTTTCTACGAGGTTTAAAGGAACAGATCACAAGGTCTTCCAGCACATTCAAGACCTATACCATTTTGGGATCTTGCTCACTTTGCAGAGATATCTCGCTTTACTGCATGACAGGCCTGGCTTTCATTATAATCCAGTGGAAGGGCCAATAGGACTGCCCCCCTCGATTCGTTTTCGACTGAGGGTAGATCTATCTGATTTTTCTTTTCATATCAGTTTCCTACTCACCCATCTAGATGCTAACCCTCTGCCCCATTGATTACCTCCAGGATGCCTAGGGCATCCAATGACATTCCCCGTGACTTTCTCCACCGCGTTGAATGACGCTAGTCCGTATTAGGGCTAGTGTATTCCATGGCTCGCTGAGAACAGTCGGTTTTGCAGATTACCAAATTACCATACCGGTACACTTGGAATTTTCGAAATTGACAGGAATTAGGTGTCTCTGTTCACAATGGAACGCAGGAAAGAAAGAGAGAGACCCTCGGATGGCTGTTTTCGGGTCGAGTCCTTCTCCTCTCGAGGCCCTCGGATGACCTCTCCTCAAATCTCGAATCGCGTTCACCCCCTACACAATTGGTCTCTCTGCCTACCCGGACGGCCCATTCTCTGCCTTAGGCCCCCGTAGCCTCCTCCTTCCTCTGTCTCCAGTTCCTCAAACTCGCTCTCTTCTTTTTCCTCTCCTTTCCCCTACCCTCTTTTCTTCGCGCTTTTCTTCCTTTCTTCCTTCCTTTCTCTCCTTTTTATAACCTTTTGCGCCAACCTATTTTAATCTCTTCCCGAATATCGATTCTCCGACTTCCTTTCCCCCTTTCGCTTCCTTCTTGTGACCGCACCGTCTTTAACTTTCCAACGCGTCCTTTGTCCAACGAGACGAGATTGGAAAGCTACACGACTACGAGGAAAATTGACATGCGACTTGAACAGTGACAGCCTGGCTACGCCTCTGTCGAGAAAACATCATTTTGTCTTCGCCTGAGAGGGGGTCATCTGTCGGCGATGACAGATACCTCCTCCCTCGCCATCACGCACGCCACAACGGATTCCTATCCGGTCCACGCCCATCGCGGGTCCCCTGCCGCCGTTGACGGCGCCGCCTCTGACTCCGGCGCACCCGATGAAGAACCTTACACCATCAGATGCATTTGCTCGTTCGATGAAGATGATGGCAACACGGTTTTCTGCGAAGGGTGTGAGACCTGGCAGCACATTCTCTGTTACTACCCAGACAAGAAAGTACCAGATGTGCACAACTGTGTCGAGTGCGAGCCGAGGCCCCTTGACAACCGTCGTGCCCATGAACGACAACGGCAGCGGCGGATCCGAGAGAAAAGCGAGGATGGTGACCGGAAATCAAGACGATCTGGCCCCAAAACACAAAAGAGAAAGTCAAATGATGCCGATGTGAATGCCTTCGGTCACAGACGACATGATTCGGGTTCCCATGAGCAGCCACCCTCCAAGAAAGCAAAGGTGTCTCGCCCATCGACTTCATTAAGTGGTATTTCGGTTCCCCCGGGTCTGTCGGCTGAATCGCGAAACCGTCGATCGTCCACCTCGGTTGCGATGAGCCCAACAAGCCTCCCTGGCCCTCCTATCCCTCATTATTCCGACGAATTTCTCTCTCTTTACGACCACGATGATCAATTTGTTGAATCGAAGAGTATTCTCAATTACGGCGTGGATTTTGTCAATGAAATTGTTGCATGGCTGAAGGACCCACAGATCTTGGCGCGAGTTACCGATGGACTCAGTGTTGAAGACTTCGCCAAACGGTCTGAAGAGGCCATGGATCGGTCTCGCTGGCCCTCGTTGGCAACCGAAACCATCACGGACTCGACAATTGAGATCGGCGGTAAGCACCCAGTCCACAAGATCTTGAAAACACAGGATCCGGTACGAAGGGACGACGTTGTCGGTGAAATATTTGGCAAATTAGGCCACGTCAAGGACTACAAAAAGCTCGACAGCAACCGATGGGATGAATTGGGGCACGCCATGCCTTTCGTGTTCTTCAACCGGCAGCTAGACTTGTACATCGACAGTCGGCAGGAAGGAAACGAGCTCCGTCACGTCAGGCGGTCATGTGAGGCCAACGTTAACCTGAAAATCTACATCACCAATGGCCGGCAGTACCATTTTTGTTTCGTTGCTAAAAGAGACATTCCTGCAAACTCGGAAATTACCACAATGTGGTATTTCGATGACTCTTTCTTTCCTTCCGACGCGACAGTGAAGGAGGAGTTTAAGGACAGAGTGGTAGATCCGAAGGACGCCGCTATTTGCATCAGCACCACGTTGGCGAACTTCGGTGGTTGTGCTTGTGGAAACCCCCAAGCTTGCGTACTGAACAAGCTTGATCGACGCGCCAAGCCCCCTGCCAACAAACGCGCCAAGTCGAAGGTGAAGGGCAAGGGCAGGAAGCCAAAGTCCCTTGGTACTCACGATATCGGTCGCGCCGGCAGCGACACCACTAAACATCTTGACGAGCACGAACCCGCAGCCGACACCCGATCGAATTCTGGTTCCGCGCGTGGTAGACATACTGGCAGTCGCGATCTCAGCCCCATGGATTCGCAGCTAACACTGCCAGAGCTCTCCAGTCGCGAAAGACGCAAGATAGCTGATGCCGAAAAGCAGTTCCAACAGCTAGAACAGCACAGAGCCGTCAATCCCAAAAGGAAAAAGCGTTCTAGTGGCCGTCCGGCACGGTCCACCCTTGCAACAGTCTCAAGCTCAACCCAAACTGGTGACAACTTCAAGCCGTATCACGAGCCTGGGCCGTCTCGATCCTCTGACATGACAGGACAGTCGTCTCGGCGTCAAGTTTCTTATGTCGACTCTCAAACCGAGCTTTACGCCGACGATGTTGAGCGCTCGTTCTTGCGCGCAGAACGTCTGAGGCGAGGATACAAACTCGACATGATCCATCCAACACTTATGCTTAAGATTCGGTGGTGTGCGGGACACCACGTCGCAGAGGACTGGGCTCAGCGAAATGCATGGGAGGCCGGCGACTTGAGTGTCGTGCCATCTGGAATTCTCCCCTGGTGGTATGGTTGGTTTCCGCTCCCAATCGACGACAGGTCTCATATCGAGTTGCTCAAGGAAGACTCAGACAGAATGGGAATACCTGCTGATCACGGCCCCCTTGCGATGCCCCCTCGGTGGTCTTTCCACCAATCCAAGTATCCCCAGCCTGAATACAAGTACCATGGCATTGCGATCCGAGGAATGCATTATGACCTTCCAGCGCGACCTAGCCAAGGTGATGTTGATACTCGGGTCGCCGTCTCGTACAAACTGGAATCCTCGGCATCTGGGTCTAGCAGTGATTTGCTCAAGCCGGCAGTTCCGCCTTATTGGCCATCCACTGCAGCACATATCTTCAGGATTCCTGGGGCGGGCAATAGTGGCAATCTACATGTTTCCATGCCACCACCAAGGGCCTCCAATATCCCGTCAGCGCTTAGTCCTGGTTCTCTGTCGACAGGGAGTCTCGCATCGCCTAGTTCTCATGACACAGCTTCCCCAATATCTCTCATGCCGTCTTCTGGTTCTGCGCTCGCACCCACACCCGCCAAGAAGAAACTCAGCCTTGGTGATTATCTGATTCGACGTGGCACGATGGCGACCACCCCAACTTCAGAATCAACTCCTGCCCCATCTCCTGCTCCTCCTCCCCCTCCTCCGCCTACTGGCGATTCTCGTCTACGTACCCAACATTTTCTGGCTATCACGACGGTGTTTGGTGATAATCATGAACCTTCCCGCAAGACCGAACCCGGAGTTGACAAGGACGAGCCCTCTGACTCTCCGGATATCTCTATGGAGGATGCACCGGAGGCAACACCCACCAAAAACCCGTCTATCTCTTCGTAATACGACCATCCGCGTGGTAGTAATGGTGGGCCTGTGATAAAAGGAAAATTCCGCCGTGGATTTAACGTTTCTTACGACCCAAAATTTCTTTTCTCGTGTGATTTCATTTCGATACCTTACAGCGAGGCGGGCACAGGCGTTCGGACTACTTTCAACCTTTTTTTCTCTCATTTTGTTTTCTGTGCCGGCTTCTTTTCTTTCCCTCCGACTTTTCGGACTCTGGATGGCGTATGGCGTGGTTTGGGATTGGTTCTTGGTTATGGGAAATACCATTTGGGTCAGGGTCTTTGAGAATTGTGTCTGCCTGAGATGCAGCACTTGATCTTTTACGATTTGTCCAGTTAATCTTGGATATGTATGGCCTCTTTTCGAGACGCTAGATAGCTTGTATGAACAATGTAACTTTTCCTGCTTTATCACTTGGTAGTAGTATATTTCGACCAGCCGTGCTTTATTCTCCCATGTTTCTCTGTCAGATTTTGCTAATGCCAAAGACAGATTCATGCACTTTCTATTCAAACCGAAGTCAAGCTCGTTCAATTTGACTATGTGAAAATAATAGGCTGAAGCAGAAGATGACTCAAGCATCGAGAGGGGAAATGCCTCACGCGACCCCTCGTTTCCTCCCTTATTATCTGTCATCTCATCTAGAACTCATGTACAAAGTTTATACCATTGATTCGAAAGCAAAATGAACAGTTCTAATCATGAAAGCCTCGTGCTAAACGAGATTTATCCCAGGCCTGCAGAGGTCTCCGAGATCGAGCAGCCCGCGCTTCCTCCAGCAGATGGAGGGAAAGCGGCGTGGCTGATGTTGGCTTCATGCTGCTTCATTCAGATACCAGTCTGGGGTCTGTTGTGACTGAACATAAACTGCATGTAAATACTAACGGAGCATATAGGGTTCTCCACTGTCTTTGGTGTCTTTCAAGAGTACTACTCAACGCATGACGTCCTACAGGGAAGCAAGAATGACCTAGCGACTGTTGGAACTACTTCTACTGTATGCAAAGGATAGACGAGGCTGGGTTTGGTTATCTAATGCGTTATCCTAGGGACTCCTTTATCTTCTCTCGCCTATCACTTTCACGCTTTTAACGAGATACCCGAATCTACAATACTATTGTGCACCGGTAGGCTTGGTCATCACCGTGATAGGATCTCTGTTATCCTCATTCTCGGTGCGTGTGTGGCATTTGATTGCCACCCAAGGTGTCATGTGTGCCATTGGGAATGGGCTCTTGTTCAGTCCGTCTTCCTTGTACCTTGACCAGTGGTTCTTGCGCCGGAAGGGCCTTGCTCTTGGAACTATGTGGGCTGCAAAGAGTATTACTGGAGTTACCTTGCCTTTCGTTGCTAGTGCTTGTCTACACAGATTTGGCTCCAGTAATACGCTAAGGGCTTGGACTGTCGTTACGGTATGAGCCAGCTCCTTCCCTCGCTTTGGCGTAGGCGATGTGCCTTGAGTTTGATACCAAACCATCCGGCTGTCAATGAGCTTCACGTTCTAAAGCCACGGCTGACAAAGTCTGAATTGTCAATCTAGCTGTTAACCACCCTCATGGCCTTGCCATTCATGAAACCCCGTATCCCAGTATCACCATCTGCTTCAGCGCGCCGCTTGGATCTGAGCTTCCTAAAACAAGCCACATTCTGGATGCTGCAAACGGGAAATATTATCCAGAGTTTTGGATATTTCTTGCCAACGACATTCCTCCCTTCTTATTCGACAACGACTGTCGGACTATCCCAGAGTACCGGTACAATGCTGGTCTCGTTATTCAACGCAACATCTGTCTTTGGTGGGATAGCCCTGGGAGCACTTTGTGACCGCTTCTCCGTCACAAATATCGTGCTGCTTTCTTCAGTTGGCTCCACATTATCAGTGCTTGTATTCTGGGGTATGGCATCATCAGGCTCAGACTCGTCACAGACAGCCATTGCCCTCCTTATTATCTTCTCCATCACGTATGGCTTCTTTGCTGGTGGGTTCAGCTCCACCTGGTCTGGGGTTATTACTCAGATCAAGCGTGACTCATCGCCGTCCCTGGACACTGGGCTTGTGTTTGGTCTTCTTGCTGGTGGACGAGGGATTGGAAATGTTATCAGTGGACCTTTGAGTACAGTGCTGCTTCAGTCGGGTTCTTTGGGGGATTCGAGTGGTCTGAGTGGCAATACTGGTTACAAAACCCAGTATGGAACACTGATTCTTTTCACTGGCATCACGGCCTTTCTCGGTGCATGGAGCTGGATGTGGCGGTATATTATCAGCCCTGCACTGCGGTGTCTGCGTTGCTTGTTCGGAACAGGCTTGGTGTATTGAGCAGAGAATAAGCAGTGAAGGTGGTACATAGGTAGCTACGGAGAGGATGGCAAATACAAAGCGACATTAATACAATCAAGTGGTAGCATCTCTCTATGAAAATATTCTATTCAAACAATCCTTTTCGAAGAATGTCAAAAGGTCAGACTTGAAATGGACTGGAATACCGTGTCACGTGCAGTCTGCGGAGCTTCGACTCTAAATGCGCGTTCTTCAAGCCCAGCCCCAAGAACTTTCTTACATATACCTGCTGCACACCAAGGGCCCACTGCCCTATTTACAATAATGGCAACTGAGGCCGCGCTCCAAGATCCTCTCCTGTCGCTTCGACGTGCGATTGCCTCTGGCAACCTTCCGACGCCGACGACCTCGTCCGAGCTCTCCGACCAACCTGCCACCGATGACCTGGCCAAAGCCACGCATCTCTACTTCACCCAACCAGCTCCTCAGACAATCGCTTTGTCAACCCCCACACGGTTCATCTCAGCATCTACCAACTCCCCTGTCGACCTGCGCAGTATCCTTTTCGCCTGGCAGAACAAAGATGTCGCTATTCCCGAGTACATCGCCAAGGCGCAGGAATTCAACGAAGCGCTGAAGCAGCAGACGAAAGAAGGTGCCAAGGAAGAAAGTGTTCAGATTCTTATCTTCCTCGAGCGCCTTGACCTTTTCACCTGGCTGGAGGGTGCCTCCGACGACAGCGAACATATCAAACCCCTCGAGGGCGCTGCTGCCGCTGCTGAGGCGGCCGCCGCGGCTGCAGGTGTCGCGCAGGCCGATAATGCCGCCGGAATTGCCGCCGGTGCAGTTGGCGGCGTCGCATCCGTCCCCAGTGGAGCTGCAGGAGCAGCGCAGTCTGGAACTCAACTTGGCCGCCCACAAAGGCAGGTTGACCCTCGACTACAGGAGATTTACAATGGGGAGCGCAAGACCGGTGACCGCAACACAGTGCTGCGGGGAATCAAGCCGACAGTGAGTTACTCTAGACAGGATGCGATGGACCATACATAGCAAGCTAACCCCCAACTCCTAAGGACTTCTCACACGTCCGCAAGAGCGCCGAATTATTCCTCGATCGCAACCGCAGTCGGCCAGGCCAGCCACACGCCAAACCGGGCATCAAGGGCTCCATCCCGGCTCCGTCAGTCGGCCTCTCGATGGCATCGCGCAAGTCGAGCTCCTCCCACTCCCGCCCCGACCCAATCATCCTAATCTCACCCTCCGCCTCATCCCTCATCCGCATGTCGAACGTCAAGTCCTTCCTTGAAGAAGGCATCTTCGTACCCCCGGACCACCCAACACTCTCCAGCGCCACAGACGCCAATCTCGTGAAGCTAGAGCGGCCGCTCCGCCTCAACGGCGACGCCTCGAACCCCGCGAGCGCAAGCTCCCGTGCCGGCGGCAAGCCCACACGCCCAACCAAGTTCATCGTCGTGGACGGCACGACCAACTTCAAACCCGAGTACTGGAACAGACTTGTCGCCGTCTTCACTACCGGGCAGACCTGGCAGTTCAAGTCGTACAAGTGGTCTTCGCCGCCGGAGCTATTCAAGCACGCCAGCGGTGTGTTTATCGGGTGGCGCGGTGAGGATGTCCCTAGCCAGGTTAAGGGCTGGGGTCGTGGTGTTGAGACCTTTGCTGTTGAGCGTTGGGATGAAAAGAATGGTGTTCATGGTGGTGGGCGCTGGCGGGATCGTGAGGTTGTGGAGGGTATTTGGACCGCTATTGAGGAGGGCATGAGACTTCGCGGATGGGGAAATAAGTAGACCTTTCTCTCTCTTCTTTGGTCTCGGTTCCCTCTCTCGCTTTCCTGCCATGTTGTTCTCTCAATACCCTCAAATTTCCAAGAATATGATGACCATCGCATTCAAGGCGCAGTTCTAGGCGTTATGGTTGTCTTTGTTTTGTTCCTATCATGTTCTGTGTATGTATGTATGGCTATCCATTTTAGATTTCAACCTGTAACTTGGACCTATACTTGATATAATTCCTCATAGCGAAGACATTCAAAGGGTTGAAATATTACTCTCCGGAGCCAATATTCGTCAACGAGGCCGTCTTATCACCCTACCTACATGTGATGTCATTAATCCTGTACACATATGAGTCTCCTCCGATTGAAGCCGTAGTGCGCCGATGGTTTTTTGGTGCATGTAGTCTTTCAGTAGTCTTTTAGTAGTCTTTTAGCACACAATTCTTGGGTCCATTGACTATAGGAAGATATGAGAATATAAGACCATGTTCATTGCAATTCTCAATTAAAGGATAATAAGACATACACAAGCAGACCAGAACTCACTCGCTGTGCCCGGGTAGAACGATGCAGGGAACTTAAGAGGGAAAAACGAATAGGAAACAGAAATGGAGATAGAAAGAAAAGACAATGGAATCATATGACATGCTCAAATGAAAACAGATCAAAAAGAAATGCAGGAAAGATGAGTTGTATGGAAGAATAGAGAATAGGAAAGGGGAGAGAAAGGACAACGCCGGGCCTGATGCTCAAGAGGAAAAGAAACAACCTCCAATCTTTCATGTTCTCAATGTTTTGTTTTTCTGTTTTTCTGTTCTGAGTCTTCCCTTTCAACACTTCCCCCAATAGGGGAGAGTAAGGGAATAAAAGGAAAGGAGAAAAGAAACAAAAGCAATGCCATCCAAATATTACAAATATTTTCCCAGTCCCGGCCTTCTCTATAACATGAGCCATCGATCATAACGTCTTTCGTTCGGAGTGGGAGAATCTCGTGACGAGTGGATTAAAAAAAAAAAAGGAAAAATGGATATGGCAGCCAGACACGTCAAGAGAAGAGACTATGGCTGGACTGCATGCGGAGAGAATAAAGAACTTCGTGGTCGGAAACGATCCGTGACGAGATTGATGAAATCGGGTCTCAAGGTCCACCGGATATTTATGTCCCCTTTTGTTTAGGGCGAGGGGGTTTCCGTATTGGGGCCACAAGCATGACTGCGGGGTTGCAGTGTGGTCGGATTCAATCTATGCCTTGAGGGCGTCCGAATGCTGATTGCTGGACTGCATGTGTTGAATGATTCGGGCTGTGATGCACCGAGGGGCTCATGAGGAGTCGGAATCCCAGTGATACGATTCGTCTTCGAATGGGTTGCGGGCTACGTCAATGCTTGTGGACGGTGGTTGTCAGGCGCGGGCGGAACGGCTCATGCTGCGTTCTGGGATTGAGGGCGGGCCGGCCGGCGTGGGCGAGTATGAACGCGAGCCTCCCAAGATGTCTACATCGTGTTCTTGTAGAACAACAGAGTATTTGGGGTCGCGCAGGAACTTGGGGACAGAGTCGCTTGACATCAGCTTGAACACGGAAGTTTGAGCAAGCTCGAACAGGTGCACCACTTCTTGGAGACTCTTGAACATGGACTCGTCGTCTCCCACAGCCTTGGTCATGCGGCTGGCGAGGCTGTTGCGGAGCGCGTGGTCGATGTTCAGCTCACAGGGTGAGCCGGGAGCCAAAAATGCGTTGTACAATCCATATGCTGCAGCCAAGGTTTCTCGCACCGAGTCAACCTTGTTAAATGTACCAATCTTCTCGGCCTTGTGGTAGTTGGTAGTAAACTCCGAGACATCGAGGTAGAAAGACAGGTTCTCTTCACACAGCGAGTAGCGAAGGAATTCACGGAAAAGCAGACGCAGAGCAGGATCTTGAAGGATATGGGTCAATCGGGCGTTATTGGAGTCGCGTGGCATACCGCGACTGTCGTACGTCGGCACAACCTCGCGGGTTTTCTCGCGGGCAATCCATCCACATACACGCTGTCCACGCTCGGTAATGCCGTAAATGGCATACTTGGAAGGCTGGAAATGAGCATTGGTCCCAACATCGGGGAATTGTTTGTCGTCTTGAATCATCGTAATCAGGCCGTACTTCAGGAATAGCTCAGAGATCAAGCAGGTCTCCCGGCGCTCAATGGTAGTTGAACAATCCATCAACCAGTCCACCGCTGCCTTCCCAGTGAATGTGTTGCTATAAACTTTTCCATCCAGGAGCTTGCGCTCCCGAGCTACCTTCACACCAACGAGGCCATTGGTGTAATCACTAAGCGAGTCCGAATCCGAGGTTGAAATGCTGCTCTTTATGTTCGGGCCATCCTGACCAGCAAAGCGACGGAAGATAACCTCGATCGTCGCACGATCATGGGACAACTTGTCGCTATCCGTGTCACGCTCTAGGTTCACCAGCTGCATGGTGTTGCGTGGCGACTCTAGTACATCCATCACGTGACGAGCGGTGATGCCATTCCGCTGGCAGAAACGCTGCAGGATGTTGATACCCTTCGGAGTGAGCTGGAAGAGGGCGCCCTTGAGCGGGAAGATCAAGAGTGCTTTGCCGTCGACAGATTCAATGAAGCGCGCATCGACAAACCGCTGGCAAACGGATCGGGCCATTTCCTTGGCCATGGAGAAAGTGGTGGTCGTCGTGGTCGTGACGATGCGGGATGGGTCTTTTGGGTCGGGCATGCGGTTGGACTGAGAGAACTTGAGCGAGCCCAAGTTGTTGATGGCCTCTTCTGAGGTGAATGTGTGGTCATATCTTGTGAAACGAACGCGATGCGAATCCAACTTCAAGCTGACCATCAATGTGGAGAACAAGTCCATGAAATCCTGCGCAAATCAGCCCAATTGTTCCAGTGTTTCCTTTCCCATTCTTGTTTAAACCTACCTTGGTGAATGGGCGCTCATCCTCCGTCATGCGCAATAACCTTGACGACGTCTGGTGCATTTTGGGTACGGGCGGGGAAGAGCGGGTTTCGTTGGGGAGTGTAGGAAGACGCTGAATGGTCAAGCGACGCTTTAGAAGCGAATTGGGAGGATTGTCGACCAAGGCCGGAGAAGAAGGTCGCGAAGTTCCCGTCAATTGCACGTAGGTGTCGCTGTCGAATGGTGGGGTCACAGGGGTTGCGGAGAGCTTATGCGGTCTCGACAGGCTACCGTAAGAAGTCGAGGAACGTAGTGTACTTCCAGACAAAGTAGCAAGTGCGTTGGAGGTCTTTTGGGCTAATGCAGCAAAAGAGCGACGATTGCGGGAGATTGTACCGCTAAAATCAGAATCAGGAACTGAAGGGAGAGAATCTTCTCGGCTGTGGCTCCTAGTTTGGGTTGGCATTGAATGGTTTTGAGTCTTCGGGTTGAACCAGAGGGAGAAAAAAGTGGGTTATGCCAAACACCTGATACCGGAAAAAAAACATGGGAATTCTGCAAAAAAAAATTGAAAAATAAAAAATAAAAAATAAAAAATTTAAGAGTGGACTTGCTAACTCTCAAAGGTAAAAATGGAGAACAGGGTAAGGGAAGAGCAAGGAAATTATACACTATGACAATTTCCTATTAGTATTATTTTTCTCTTTTTTTTGAATCAATTTCAATAGAAAAGAAAAGGAGGAGAAGAAGAAAGATGGGTCTAAAGGGGGGAAAGAAGGCGGGATTGAAGGGAAAATAAGAAAATAATTTATTTTAAAAAATAGGAATAGGAAAACGAAAAGAGAAGAAAAGAGGGAAAATATGAAAAAAAAGGAAAAAAAAAGAAAAGAAGAGCACCATTCGGCCTGTCAGCCCATGATCCACAACCCACGCGTGAGCCCGAAAGAGTTTGGTCTGACGCATCCAAACAACGTGGGCCATGAAGATCGGTGGGTTCTGGGGTCTGGTATTACAATACCATACCTGCATAGTGCATACTTGGTGTCTTCAACCATTTTCTGATTAATAAATAGATAATAAATGCAAGGGGAAAGATTGAAGGATACCTTAACCAGAGGGCTGGGGATATGTGAATGACCTTGGATTCTATAGTCCACAGTCTACTCTCATGTAAATAATTCCAAATCAAATTGAGTGAACCAGGGAAACAGAATTTAATTAAATGGATCCTCAATCTTTTTCCAATGATTTCATTGATTTTTGCCAATGTTCCAAGGTCGACCGAACAGATCCGATCGTAATACGGTTGTACTGGTAATACCTGTAATCTACACATTTCACCATTAAAACATTTTGTTGCATACCCAACCCCGTTTCGTTGTTCCCCCTGTCTTGAGTCGCTACTACCTTACTGACTTGGGACTAGTTCTTTGTCTTTTGATAAACATCTGGAGCTTCGGAGTATTAACGGGTGAATCCAGATCTGAATCTTCAGTTAACTATGTTGCACATGTATCTATATTTTATATCTGATTTTGGTGTCTTTTGAATGATCTTCTTTAAGGCTTCCATGAAATCCGTACTAAAATTTCATTTATGATGTTTAGGCTGTATGCCCACAAAACAGGTAACGATGTAAAGCTTGAGCCCACGTGGGAATCCTTACACTTCCCGAAATCTAACGTTATATTGATATTTTTGATATGATGTTGATATACGGAGTACGGAGTACAACAATCAAAATAATATCTACCATGGAAGTCCAGTTAACCTTATCGAGTGGCAAACCCTTGCCATCTAGATATAACAAGGGGCGCTTTTGTGCTTATTCCCAAATATTGGCCCACTCCAACACCCCAACCTGGTCGGAAAATTGATTAGAAGTGTTGTTATCGGTCCGGACTGTTGCCGAAGAGTGGGCTGTATTTACCTCTGTCTCTAGAAGATCAGAAACATCCTCATACACGGTGTATCACATGTCGCCATCAGGCCAAACCCCCCACTTCCCTCCGATCGTCCAATGGTGGGGCAATCAGGAACCTTGGAACACTTTTCACACTTCTTCGCTGTTTCATAACCGAGGAGTGTTTCGTCTCGTCGCTAATCCTAATCTGGCGTGTCGCATGGCTTTGAGCCTGAAACTACATATGTACGGCGCGTAAAGGACGAGACACGGCAATTAATTTATAATCTGTCATATACAATATACACAAGGTTAAATGTTCATAGTGGGGGAGGGGTATTTCCCTTTTGAGGACCTTGCGTGTAACCTCAAAATATATCAAGGCGGTAAAAAGAATATTAATAATAATCCTAATCTCCAGGCTTCCATGGCGATTCCAAGCGTCTTCTTTTTCGTTTGCATAACCCATGTGGTCCCACGTGGGCACACGTGGAGGAGATGCTTAGCGTCTGACCGCCAAATCCCCTTTTACTGTTTTGCGCCTAGAGGGAGGCGCAGTCTCGCCAATCTTTCCCCTGAATGTCTAAGTTACGGGTCGCGCTGGGGAGCGACCGCTAATAAAATCCCATGGTTTTAAGCGTGGGTTACCCTATGTGCCTTTCAACGGTTGTGGTTCGCGTATCCTGGTTCCTGGAGAGAGATCAATTTCCTCTCCGTTCAGGTTTTGCGAGATACATGGGGTTTTTCCGATATGACGAAACGATTGACACCCAATCATACCGTAGACGCGCTAGTGCCGCATACGCTCCAAGCTCTGGGGATCATGATCGTCGATTTTGCTAATCATCTCATCCATGGCTTGAAATACGAGGTGACCAATGCGCAGCGATATAGGGGTTGGCAGTCTCATCTTCTCCGCGATCGTGGAGACCAACATCAGCGACCTAACGGTCAACATGAGAGCCTCATCTTACACCTGATTCCCGTCAAGACAGCGCCCCAACACGGGGGCGCAAAAACGGCCCCAGGGATTCCATATGCATGAACCACACTTTCAATTGAAAGTAAAGTTTCCGAAAAGCTATCCAATGCCCTGTCTGGATCGAGCTATCAGACACGTCAGCAAGACCCCTTTAAGATGTAGTGCTGACTAAGAAACAGTACTGGCCAACCAAACCTCCCGGAACAGGTCACGCGAAACAGCCATGCAAGACCAGTGCGAGTTTCATCCGCCAGGTGCCGGGCGGCCTTGCCTAGATTAGTAGTATTCTGCGGATACGGATTACAACAAAAGTACTCCGTACCGATATCTTCCAAAAAACAAATTTAAAAAGAAGGTTTGGACTCCGCTCAGATGCAGCCATAGAGACAGATTAAGCAAAGATACTCGGTGATAGGATAGCATGATACAAGATTGGCTCCCCCGCAAGACGAGAGGAGCCAACGGAAGTTAAATTGGATAGCGCAGATCGAAGACATTCTACATCACAGAACAGAAACTTGGAAGGAGATAAGAACATTCGAATAAGCGACACGTCATATCTACTTCAAACTGTTGAGATCTATCCAGCTGGATCGATCACACAGGATCGAACGGTGCCACGTGGAGACAGAAGGCAGGGGCTCATGTGGTTGGGGGCCAAAAAAGGAGTCTTCGGTCGCAACATCTCGGCTCAGCCCTGTATGAGCAATGCCAATTTGGCTCAGCTTAAGGCTGGTTTCAAGAAGGCTGATAAGATTGAACAATTCAGTGGAATAATTCGATAACTTCCGTGGTCTATACTACGTACTCCGTACCCTCATATACATCTATACTTCGTAAATTACTTTCAATACAATTAGTGTTTGCACATCACCTGGGCAGATCCATTATTGTGAAACGCTAAGCCCGAAGAGGAGAAAGAACTATCCCTGTCGCTTTATTCCGCCGCACATGTTCAAGTGGATTGGAATCCAAAATTGAGGCCCGCTGAAAGATTGGCTCAAGGAGGTTTTCCTGTTAAGTATAGAGTTGCGGTCAGACATTCAACGGTAAGCAGAGAGATACTGAACCGAATGAGACTCCAGCGATCATCTCATCTTGACGCAATAAAGTATGTATTGTATTTGGTAATACATGTCATTTATGCCACATGCTACATATGTACATGTATGTATTGCATCCCTGGTGGCCACGCGACAAGGGACTCATGCAGGCTTGCATTGTTCAGGGGTAAAAGACACCTCTCATATCTGTAATATAAATATGATGTAGATTTGGGCAAGATACACGTTCTGACACGAGTCATGGGAACTCAAAATAACCCACAGAGCTCAATCAAAAATACTAATTCAGCTGCCAAGTCCCTAACCCTTTCGGGACGAGTTAGCATCGTTCAGAGCCAGGGCTGTAGCTGGATGTCGATCCGCGCAAATGGAAAGCTTATGTACATTAGTGAGCTCTGGGACATGCCTTGCCTAGCAAGATAGAAGGGATCCTCATGTTGTATACTTTATACACGTACTTTCCTACATATCACCTCCTTGCCTATTCGAGGGTCCCTGCATGTAGCAGGTGGACTTACATACTCCGAACTGCATGGGTGTATGCAGATCTCTACGGAATTCAGCGAACCAACATCCGAAAACTAGGTTGCTTTCTGCAGGAATGTGGCTTACGCGATTGGGATTCGAACTATGCTCTGATGCTCCCTAGACGGGCTGACCATGCTAAACTCTAAACATCTGGTAGACCCTAGCCCCAGGATGTTTTCTGGGTGAAGTATTTACATTTAGGCCGGGCTGGGGATAGAGCAAGGCCTAGATGAGTCTCGGTCTTCGCCTTTACTGCCCCTTGATGTAAATCCTAGACTACAGAAGTACACTTAGATGTTCTAGATCGCAATCTGAGCTCAATATTCAATTACAGGATCGATCTTCGCTTCCGAAGCCCCATCAGCGGTCCAAATTTAGAAACGGCAAGAAATCCCAGACATGTATCACATTGTAGAGGCCGAAGCTGTCGGGAGGTCGGGAGGTCGGGAGCTACGAATGTGGGGGAAGCATCGCTGAGGTTGCCACGTGGAATTCTGGAGAGGTTGATAATTTAGACCTCGAGCACAGATCTGATCATCCCCTAGTCACAGTAGGCCGCGCCTCGTAAGCAAGGTTCCTACCTATCATCGTAGGTATGAGTCCGTATTGGGACCATGTGGCTTGCGCAGCCTTTCCTCCGTAATCAGCCACATGCCCAGTCTTGCTGGGATGACAATCCTGACAAAGGCCCTGATTGAGAGAAACTCTCCTTGCGACACTAGCGAAAACACTAGTGGAATCCGTGCACGCAGCACCTTGTGAACAGAGCCTCATCGGATCTATTGCCTATTCAGTGGCATGTTGGGGGAGATGGTACATATGTTGTATATCCCTGGGCTGGGCACGGAGGAGCCGCGCTGATATTCTATTTTTTGAAACTGCCGTCAAATTTGTGGCTTTCACCGTGTACATTTGATTTGCTGGACCAGAATATCAGTTCTCGGACGTCCCGATCATTTGCGAAAGCTTCCGAGTGAGTCTTTTTGCATATACACAAATGCCAAGGTTCTTGATACTCGGGCATATACGGAGTACTCCGTAGATAAGAGAGGATCTTCAATAATCGCGAAGTTAACTTTGTTCACACAAATTAGAGTGGTTGAAGTAGTGGTTGAAGTGCACACATTATACACCCGAGGTCCCTATAGGCCGTTTGTAGTAATGTCCCTTTTGCCCGCGTGTATTATACAAGTATATTATACCGCACGTGTATAAAATACCAGGAATTTGACTGTACCCGTGGTCGACTCCACTTGCTGAAAACAGATAGTGCAGGATGAAGCGTAGTAGTGAGTCACGTCATAGACTTTGAATAAGTTCTAGACTGAATTGTTGAACCAAAATTTAAACGATGCCCTGAATCATGTACGGAGTAAGTACCTTTGTTGTACGGAGTACGGAGTACATAGTAGGTAGTCCACAGTCACGGCTGAACGGGGTTAACGGCGAACTCCGGTGTGGCAAAAGTCAGGAGACGCTAGAAGTCTTCTAGAAGGATGCTGGAAGACGCTAAGAAGCCTCGTTTCGGATTGTTCCATGGTTCAGTGGGCCACTATATGAATCCTTGTTTCGTCAATTTCTCCCCTTTCCGTTGATTAAGGGACAATATCTCGGGAAAAGTTTTGTCTCTGTCGATTCTTTGTTGATTTTTCTCCTGTTCCTGATTTCGTACTGATTTCGGGACACAGCCGAAGATGAAGGCTTGGCAAGTGTCAATCGTGTGTCCGCACTGCTAAAGTGTCTATCAAACCAATTAGCTACCTATCTATTAACGAGAATACATAGGGGGTGTGTTTTATATAAAACAATTTCATAGAAAAGACTCATGTTGGATCTACTTGTATCTAATCTACAGTGTACGTAAGAATAAGGCCGAAAACGAGAAAGAAAAACCGCCGATGAATGGATACCGTACGATGTACTCCGTACAATGTACAACATCGTACTCCGTATACCCACTGGACAACTCCACCTTTCACGGTTGACACGGCAGAAGAGCCACACGGGAACAAAAGGACCTTCAAGTCCACGTGGCAGATCGGCAAAACACCGGTAACGGAGAGACGGCTGATTTACATATGCAGCTACGGTCCTGCCAGGTTAGCCTATGAGATACTTCGTACTATCCGGCTACCTAAATTATTGTAAAAGTGCATTTATTCCTTTCTTCCCTTTCATCAGGCGTTCCACATTCCAATACATTATCTGTATCCGCATTTTCAGCGTCTTTTTAGAAGATCCAACGTTCACTTTTCGGAACTCCCGCTCATTGTTCGTATACATGTAGGTAACAAAGAAAGTAAGACAACTAAACAAAATATCATATTGGGAGACACACAGCCAACTTGAAGTGGCAATATAACGTAGAGCAAGCAAATGTCAAGCGAACACCGCCAAAACCAGGCATTGTTATGTTTAGTCTTGTCTTTCCAGACCAGAGGTTTCGAAAGGTACGCGCGTTTGCAATCTTGAAAAAAAAGGCAGGATTGCCAGCCCGAAGCATCCTATCGAATCGATCATCCAAATTTTTCTTCTCCTCCGCCGTGAACTCAAATCCTCGGTCGTGTATACAGCAAATACACTCAACGGTACGATGCTCAATCCCTTTCCCTTTCTTAGCTGATGATCGACATCTCTCACAACATCCACAGTCCCAACTGCAGCAACCTCCTTTACCTATGCAATCTTCCACAAGCTCTTTCTGGAGATACCAAGCAGGATTGCCCTTCACCGAATCGTAGCCCTTTTTCAACGATGTCATAGGAAGCATAGACTCCTTTTCGTAGAGATCCCGCTCTTGATGGGCACGTGTTTTTTTGACTTCCTCTAGCTCTTCTTCAAGTTGGTCACATTGCAAGTCGCTGTCATCGATATTTGAAAGCTTTTTAGCAGCTCCAATCTTGTCATTCAACGCATTTTCTCGTTGAACAGTTGAACGGAGCGAAGTTTCCGCCCAAATAATACCAATAAAGAGGGTAGTATTGTATGTTGAAGGCTTGTACGCTGAAAATAGGCCATGGCAGACCTGCTTAGAGTGATATACATAACCCGACGAGGTAAACAACGTCATGTATTCCCCAAGCATCTTGGAGGTTTAGATTGAATGACCTTGAAGCCACAAGTAAATTCTTCGAAATCAGGAAGAGTAGTTCTGGAAGCTAAGCTCGGGATTATTTCATCATTCTGTCTTCATGATTTTGCTATCCATGCCGCTCCCAAATAAGGGTAGCAGATCGGTTATTGCACTAGGGTTAATGATCTCATAGATACATGTAACGTCTACGGGCCCTAGTTGGGTACTAGAACTCATATCGTTCATAGATGTATATTAACACATTTTGCACCTTTTCACTATCTGTATTCTATATGTTGCGACTAATTCTTCTTATCATTCTAGCTAGAACAGCAATGAGGGGTGAAGACATTTATGCGGAGACCCCTAAAAAGACATGACAAGGTCGTATACTCCGTAAGTTATCATATTTTGTAGACTTCATATATTATTATCATTTCTATGAGCGCATGGTCGCGTTTACGACTATATCAGAGGTACGGGGATTTTGAAGGACTATGACAGTTATCGCTGATGCGGTAAATGAGTGGAACTGCAGTTGCTGAAGACATGAAATTCACTAAATGGCTTGCATGGTAATCTTGGCTGTGGAGCTTGACGCCCATGTGGCCCTGGAGGATGCAGATCGGTCTGCTTTGTTTCACGGTCTATGATTTGTTTGATTTGTTAGTCACGCGCAGATTCTCTCTTGATATCGTGACTCCGGCTTAGTTCTCGGTCACTCGCATGGTATGACCACGGCAGTTCTGTAAGAAACTTTTATGCAGATAACCATGTCGAGAGTCAGGGACCTCGCAACGGGAACCGAGTTTGCGTATGGTTCTTGCGCAGATTTGAGCATCGCAGGGATCTATACAGCATACCTGGTCTAATCAAAGAATCAAAGATTAATGTTATTATCGTCAAGATACTTCCATCACCCATATCAGCCCATTTGAATACCTCGGTCTCGCTTTATCGTCGTTTTCCGCTACTGCACGTGGGGTAGACGGAAGTTGTCCGATTGAGACTGATTGTCAAGCAAATGACTCCAGATAACCCGATCAGCAACTTTTGTTAATGCAATCGCCTAGACTAGCTTGGCGGGGCAAGACACGCAAGCCAAAAAGAAAGGACACTCTACACTGTGCATCTTCTCTGCTTCAAAGCGGGGTCAGAATGAAGGAAGATCCTTGACATTCGCTTTTCTCCCCGAAGTGCAGCATTGCACAAGTATCCATTTTATTTTATTCTTTTCTAATTGCTTTGCAGAATCCACACGGAAACCTGCGGTCCGATCAAAAGCAGACACTTGTATTACCTATATTACCTATATTACCTATATTACCTATATTACCTATATTACCTATATAAAAATAAACAGAGAACAACACGTCGCACAAAAGCTCCGTTATTAACGCGTGGTCTAGATTTACCTAAAACCAAGTCTCTCTTATTTCTCTCGAAACAGTCATGCGGTCCCTATCTCAAGGGTTACAACATACTCGGAAGGGGGTTCGGGTTACCGCATGGTCGAATGCACTCTTTGCACCTCTGCACAACCACATGGTCATGTAGCCATCCTAAGAAGAATATCTGCGAGCTGCAGCCGCTGGATTGCTAATGGCTAGTCGAGCTCTTTAGGACTAGACAGGGATGAATAGGGCATTACACATGTGCATCAGAGCCATGCGAGTGTTGCAGCATTGTGGAGTCGACTTTCTCAACATCTTTTGCATTCCACTGCTCTCTTTGTTTCACCGAGGAATAACATATTCTGGTTATTTTAAGGATATTATTCTATTCCCGACTCATATCCAATAAATCTAGGTAACCTTAAGTATAAAATAAAGCCTATGAATTGCCCAGATTTCGCATGGTACCCCAGTGATCGGTGTCCCCTGTCCTACAGAGTAATATGCTCAAAACACAACTTGCCATGACCAGCCCCTCCTTACCATTTGTGGGTAAAGACATGAGAATTAGACCTGTCATTTTCAACACATGGCCACATGCATATGCCCAAATGCCGCGTGTTCGGAGGGGCCAATTAGATACAGTACAGAATGTCGTCGATAACATTTACATCTCTATAATATTATTTACCTTCCAAATGTCTCTCCGTGCAAGGGATTAACATAAGGCAAGAGAGATTAGAAAAGCTGCCAGCATTACTATTGCTATAATTGCCTATCTGAAGTACAAACTACTCACAAAGAACGAATATGCAAGATTTTGCCTGAAGAACCCAATTTTGAAACCAACTACTCCGTACTCCGTACATGGGATCCATATCCAAACCCCGATATCGCCACCCACTTTTATATACAGGTATGTAAGCCTATGCAGATCATCAATTTCTAATCAAATGACATCCATTCTACCATCTAAAGGAGGAGTGGAAAGCGAGAGTAAAATAATGGTAACAATAGCTGGGAGGTTGTAAGGTACGTACCCTGCGAGTGAGAATGAAGCGTTTGAGAAGTGAGAGGTAGGTAAGAGGTATGAGATGTCTTTGAAGGTACAAAGTGTGAGGGAATACTAGTGTCGGCCTGGTTTATTCACCTCACTTTTTAAAGATCCTTTGCTCACTGGTCTCCTGTGGGTTCTGGAATTTCTCGAACTCTGCAGTCTTGTCTTCTGCACCGATACCATCTTTCTCCTTCACCCACTGTGCTTGTTCACGTGGCTCGCCATCTCTAGGAGAATCGCACGATCTTATCGTGCCCCGGGACGCAATACCACTCCGTCCGCACTCTCTGGATGGTATGTACGACGCAATTGAAGACTTGAAGGCCGAATTCGAGAAAGATTTCCACAACCACATACATTTGGGTGCATAAAATCCCGAAAACCCTCTTCGCCCAGATAGAAACCGACCTTGAACTCTTCCGAGGTGTTCGAGCCACCGTGGCCCACAATGCCCAGGTGAGTCCGCTGCCTTAGTAAGAATCATAACGGGACGACAACATGAACGTATAATTGGTAATTCCGAAATATCGCTATTACCCATCCCGCTACGGAATACTATGGGCTTGTTCTTGGAAGCGGAGATTACGCTGACCAAGGCAGGGAAGCGGGTTAAGCCAACGGGGGTCATGGCTGTACCAGGAACTTCGGCAAAGAAAAATAGCTCATACTCGGGGCATAATTGCGAGCAGCGAAGGCATGAACCTCGCATTTGGCGATGCCAGTGCGATCCGACGAGACATTCGACCACCCCTGACTTCGTCGTCATGACCGACAACGGCACTACCACCACTACAACAGTGGTTGGCGAATTAAAGACACCATGGGTCGATGAACACAAGCTGGAGAGAAGGGTGAAAATGCACAAGGGCGATCAGTTAACTGCGGCTTACATTAGGTATGTCTGATCCATGGATAGAATAAAATTTTGTTAATAATGATTTACTTACACAATGCTAGGCCAGGTTGCACATTATATGTTCGACCGTCTTTCAATGCTCCCATCCAGCGAGGGTATCTCAATCTACCGGAAGGAACAAACCCAATTGCATGCAATATATATATATATATATATATACATCCAGATCGGTCAATGGGTCCGTATGATGCCCGGATCGATTCGACCGCCCACCAATACCCTCGTTCTTGAATTTGGGACTCCTGAACCCTCGAACGAACTCCAGCGGGATGCTGGTTTGTGGTATGCGAATCACCAACATACCAAACTCGTGCTATTAATCGACGTGATTGCCGATCTGTACCGCGTCAATTTTGAGCTTTGGACCGAGGTTCAGAACCAGTCTGTGGGAAACCGTCCGGCCACGGTCCTTCAATGCACTCAGACGGCAACATTTCAGAACGGGGTAGTGTCAGGCGCCCCCTCGATCCTCGATTTCACCACTCTTATGCACGAGCGCCGCAGATCGGCGAACATGACATTGTTTTGGGGGGTGCACATCTGACGCTTTTCGGTACCAAACGACGGGGCCCATAGCCATCGGCTCTGTGCTCCTCGCTGCCGGCTTGTTTGTCTGCGATGGGTCTGTATGGCCGTCGATTCTCTATCTACCAAGAACAGACGTTACCTCTAGCTCGGTGTTTCCTTATAGTCCACGGGTATATATAAATGTCTATTTCTTCCCTTCTTCCTCCACCTTTCCCCTCCTTCCCTCCTCGTCACCACTACGTTTGAACTAGCAAAATGAAGCTAGTAGCCTCTCTAGTGCAAGTAATAGGACCAACGAATATCCCTATTGCTATCTAGCAAAGGAAATGCATAACGGTACGTATCAAATCGACAGTCACTGGCAGTTGCTTACACAGACCACTGCTTAACCTGGGAAATGTCCTATGGCACGCACGCAACCCTACGCCCTCTATGCCATATCATCAATCACAACAGACATGGGATGGAAGATGTCGAGAAGCCATAGGCTGTGCAAAAGAAATGACTTCCAGCGAAAAGAACTTCTTCCCTTCGTCAACAACACACCCATATACTGCTCGCGTCGCTTGCCCGTTTGCGCGCGTCCGTGCTGTCGGTTACTTTTTTCCTTTCTTCAAAAGCAAAATCTTCCTCTCCGTCACAATGGCGGACTCCCAACGCCCTCGTGTAAGTGTTGGGAATCACTGTCATGCCTTTCTCTCCTGAAGCGCCCCGATCCCTAATGTACTGAGACTCCCAGCACAACTATCATATTCCCTGACATTATCATGTATTCATATATTATTCGAATATATACTAATAAATGATAGTTTTTGCCATTTCTGCAATATGCCCGGCGATACAGAAATCGACTGCCGGCGTGTCAAGGCCATATCAGCCCTCATCGTAAACACCTTCGCCCCCGTCTCCGTAAGGGCCCATATACCTATTTTTTGGGAGGTTGTATTAATTTGAAATGTGGCTGCTGCAGGACAAGCACAAGTCCCATCGCGCCTTTCGAGGTGGCAAGGCCAAGAAGGGTATGCCATGTTGTCGTCCAGTCCATGATACCTTACCCATTCCCTCTCGCTGTTGTCTCGCTTCTTTCTTTTTTATATTGCTGTCCTCTGTTGCTCCG